GGGGAACTTGGAGTGTTTGGATCTACCAAACAATGCTGACACAATTGCTGTATTGTGCAGCAAAAAAAATTGAATTTGATTTTAAAAAAGAACCAGAATAAATCCTAAACACCTCATATAACACAAATGACATTGGTTTGTGACAAACCAACAATGAAAGTGCACCCATACCCTGTGTCCCTGTGTTACATGAGAAAACCCAACATAAGGAAGTTGAGGGTCATTTCATTAGAGAAAACGCAGAGGTCATATATGTCTCAAACTCTTAATTGCTACATGTTTGGTCAAGGAAACTGACAAATTTCCATTGTTTGGTTGTAAGGAAATTGAGATGGAGATGAGAAGGGAGTGGGAAAAGGGGGGGGGGGGGGGAAATATCCCCCCGCGAGTGGAGTGAAGTGGAAGGGAAATTTAGTTTTGAGCTCTCTTCCCTCACTTGCCTTTTTTGCTTTGAGCTCTCTCATCCCACTTGCCTATGTGTTAATTTATATAACTTGAAAAATAATAAATTTTATAATCNGGGGGGGGGGGGGGGGGGGGGGGGGGGGGGGAAATATCCCCCCGCGAGTGGAGTGAAGTGGAAGGGAAATTTAGTTTTGAGCTCTCTTCCCTCACTTGCCTTTTTTGCTTTGAGCTCTCTCATCCCACTTGCCTATGTGTTAATTTATATAACTTGAAAAATAATAAATTTTATAATCATATTTTTAAAATAAATTAAATACTTTCATTGATATTTAATTTATTTAATATTTTTTATTATGTAAAAATTGTTATATCGTAAAAAATATATCGTGAATTGTTCTATACATATTTATAGGATAAAATTATAATTTTGTTTCAATATGTAACTTCTCTTCAACATCTTTCCCTTCTTTCCTCTCCATTTTTTCCCTCTACAACTCTTTCCTCCCTATTTCTTTCCTTTGCCAAACGCGCTCTAAACTTCTAGTGAAGGGGATGCAAAATACTAACCTGAACACTTTGGAATATCCCATACAGCAATAGATGTGGCAGTACACTGTGTTTGACACAGTTCTTGATTATGTTCATGGTTGACATTCATTGCAAGCATCCAAGAACCAATAGTAACATCTTCATTGCTAAACATTCGGAAACTGAGAATTTACAAAGAAATATGATTGGCAATAGGTTGGATTGAGATTCTGACAATGATGATAAGAAATTCAATTTACACAAACATTGTCTCAATAATTTTTTTAATCAACTTACGATAAGAATGACACAATCTCATATGGTAGAGATTTTACATTTATAGTCTTAATATCATAGAGAAGGAAAAAAAGTTTGTGAATTTGGGCCAGGTTCTCTTGGAAACAAACTCTCTATTCCACACAAGGGTAAGGTCTCCACAAACTCAACCTCCCCATACCATAATTTGTAGGATTTTGCAGGATTCGTTGTTGTAGATGAGGAAATAAATGTTGGTGATGATAAGATATTGAAGGCCAAATCTAGACTTAAGGAAAACTAACCTGTCGTTCCTTAGTGCAACAAGGCTAGAAACAACATCCACAGAAAGAGCATAAATAGGACCATAAGCATGTAAAAAGTACTCCTTGCCAAGCAATTTTGATAATGGTTCATACCTGCATCAATGGTACATGAAATAGGTGACAATTATATAAAGACAAATATTGATCATAGATTGCAGACATCCAGTTTTTCACAAACCATTTGAGTTTGGGGTCAGTGAAAACTGGGCCCTTTTTCATGCATCCAAGGTATGTTTGTGAGTGAGAACGTTCTTTGGCCAAAAGTAAAGACAAGCGATCTGTTAATTTCATCATAAAGAGTATAAAGTTAATTGATTGAAAGCAAAAGGTAACCTCAATGGAACACTCCAATGTTAAAAAGAATTAATAAATAGCCCAATAAAACTTTGCGAGGATAGAAACCTGGTCGTAAGTATATGTCATCATCTGCCTTGACGTAAAACTCTGAATCAAAAAGCGCATAGGCAGCTTTAAAAAAAGCTAAACTGTAAACGATATTTTGATTAGTGAAAATCACATAAGATTCTGAAATATGACAAGTAACTAGTCAGAACTAACGTTTTGTATGGGAGCTTACTGTACTCTTCTTCAATGTCTAATAGCACAAAATCATCATACTGTGAAACCTCGCTTCTAAGTTCCGACATCTTTGATTTGTCACTAGTTCTGCCAATAATAAACCTAAAAGCCAAACCAGTGGATTCTTCCAGCCTGGGGTACCAAAATAAATTAAGCATGCAGAAGAATAAGTCTCATGAGGCTTGGACAAAGCAAAGAGGGAAAAGTTATCAACTTTCAGGCAATACAATAATACTGCATCAATAACTAAATATATAATGAAGGGATGATATTATTATTATTATTATTTCTGACACAGAGATCTATTGCAGTCCGTACACAGCGACAAATTAGTTGAACGTAGTTAGATTTTTTGAAACGAATCGTTACACTCTAGCCTCTCCTTTTAGTCGAATGAGTTGAACTCATTTGAAAGAGGTACGACCAAAGGGAGTCCCTCTCCCGTAGGTCGAGTGACTTTGTTGAACTCATTCGACCAACGTACGACCAACGGGAGTCGCTAATTTCTGAAAGAGAGCAATCAAGTCCGCACGGGCGCACGGCATTCATCCCCCTCTCCTTTTGTTCTCCCACAGCTAACTTAAAGAAAGTAAGAACAAGACTCAATGCATGTGGGCCTATTCTACAACAATAGCATTTGATGAACTATACCGAACAAAGTAAAGAGCACTAATTCTCTATTGAGATGGAATAATATGTCTAATAGAAATCTCCATTCAAATTAGAGAAACACGGCCACGTATGTGTCCCCATCCAATCCATCACATTGCAAACCTTCTACTAAAATGATTATTAAAAAAAATGGGAGAATGGTTCAGGTGAATACATTTAATGCCACTAAAAGTTAAAATCCCTCCACAATGCAGACTTCTGCTAAAATGAAAAAACTACGAGTAAAAAATAGGAGGAAAGTTCGGGTGTATACATTTAATGCCATAAAAAGTAAAAATCTCACCATATTGCAAACTTCTGCTAAAATGATTATAAAAATGGGAGAAGGGAGAAGTATTCAGGTGAATACATTTAATGCCACAAAAAGTTAAAATCCCAACAAATGTAAAAACATCCCAGAGCGCCAAACTTTTTTTTAGGGAGCCAAACTATTTATGATATAGTGTACCAAAATCCATTGAGAATGAAATAATTTCCAGAATTTACTGTTTCAACCAGCACTCACTGCCATTGTTCATAATGGTGCTGTTCTGCATTGTTCTATCAAAATAAGAGCATATGCAGTATACAGAAATAAGTAAATAGAAGTGTCTTAAGAAAAAAATACACAGAACTTCATTCAACAGGTGGAGTAAAAGTAGATGCTTAAATAATACACAGACAAACACAAGAAAAAAATACAGTTAAATAAGGGGATGCAAGATTACTTCCGGAGCCCCTGTCGATCTGAGGGAAACCAAGTCCGGCGGAGAGCCCGCCTGCGGCCAGCTGATTCGAACCCAGTTTGGATACCAACAAAGCCCATAACTTTGTGTGTCTTCCGCTCTACATCACCACTGATCGCCCCTCCGCCGCTTCTGTCCCAGACTACAGAGACCGATCGGGGCTCTTTGTATTCACATCTGTGCCCCAATCCTTGCCTCGAAACAGCGATTAGCCCAAACACAAAACCTGTGATGCCGATGAAGAAAAACACGACCAGAGCCGTGGATCTGCGGGAATATGAGTTGTTGAGTTGGCGGGATGTGAAGTACTTGGGAGATGAAGGCATCTCAAATGCAGGAAATTTCTGAGATTGGAACACAGAAATGGTATATCATGTGATGAAATTTAGAATGTAGCTGGATGATTGAAATTTTGAGCTGGTTAGAGCATTCCAACGGGAGACTCAAATGGTACTGGTAAAAAATACTCTAGTATTTTGCACATCTCAATTTGATAAATTTCCAATTTCCAAAGGAAAATGCTAGCATGTGGTGTACATTCGGGGTACACTTTTAGTGTACCCCTACCATCTCCCATTTCCAAAATCGTATTCAACAACTCTATATTTTTTCAAATTAATCTCTAATATAATTTAATTATTGAGAATATACTCATTATTGGAAAATAATGTTTAATTTAATCCTTTGAATTCCGATTAATGACCGTCAAAATGACATCAAAACAGCGCTAACGCTTATATTAATTTCTCTAAATAATCCTTTCTAACTGGTTTTTTTCCTCAAATTGATCAATACTTAAAAAAATTGTTAGATATGTGATGGGTAATAACCCAAGGATACCACCCGGTTAGTTCACCGAACAGCACGCGTCTTTCCCAGCCCGGTTATTTGACCGGTTGGATGGGGAGACCAGACGCCAATACCCGAAGGTCTACTTTCAAAGTGCACCTGGTGGGCCGGTCAGCCGCTTGACCGGTTGGATAATCAGAGACGTGCTTGACGTGCTTAGGATTATTATAAATACCCCTAAAAGCCTCATTTGTGAGGCATGCTTTAATTAACCTGCACGGCTTGTATTTGTAATAACTCCTATTATCATTAATAACAAATCGGGTTACAGGTGCTTCCACCTACAACCCTTCCGATTACTCATACTTAGTATTTGCGTGGTAATTTACACCATCAAATTGGCGCCACCCGTGGGACCTATTACAAAAAGCCATGACAAGCAATCAGGAAACCGTCATCTCACAAATCTCTACTCCCGTTGAGAACGTCGCCTCATTCCCGGGAGGGAGTACACAACCCTCAAACCAAATTCCTACCCCCATGTTCTCTGTTCCAACACCTACTCCATTCACTTCCCCCGTCACTTCTATCCCTATTTTTCCTCCAAATTTTCCCGGGCCCATGGACCCGCTGTTTTCACAGGCATTCCAAAATTTTGGGCAGTTCATGTCCATGTTTCAATAGCCGGGAGGATTTTCACCTTTCATTCCCGGGTTATACCCACAATCCTTGCCCCAAACCAGTATCATCCGCCCAGTCGCTCCAACGAATCTAATCAGAGAGATGGACAAAACTGGCCCGTCCCGGTCCAGAAGGAGTCGGTCCCGGAGGTCGTGCACGCAGATCACGCCTGATGGCGATGTGCGATCAGTCCATAGTAGGGATGAGGATTGGGATGTACCTCAGGCACAAAAGAAGCTGAAGGGAAAAGCTATTCAACCTGAAGGGTCCAAGAGGTCGGAGTTTCAAAGGCTTGGCCATGAAGGCAGAAATCAAAACCGGCCTGCCAAAGAACGACTAAGAGTGGAGACAACCCCGTTGAGTGCTTTAAATCGCCTGGGTAGAGGGGCCGAGCGACCCGGTCGGACCGGGCGCACGGAACCTCCCCATCGCGAAGAGCCCCCAACATAGCCGGGCGCCCCATGGAGAAGAAGAAGCGGAAAGCCATCATAGGCACACAATCCGCTCCCATGTTGAACAACCCCGGGATCGTGTGGGCCGGGTCGAAGCACGTTTGGAAAAGCTGCAGCGCCGGGTGGATCAGGATGAAAAGAAGAAAATCCTGCTGAACGAGTCTCTGTTCACAGACCGGGTTCACGAGACCCCATTTCCAAAGAAGGCAAAACTTGAGGTCCCAAAATTCACTGGGAAGGAGGACCCGAAAATTCACGTCAAAACCCTCCATCAAAGCGGGCGGATGATGGGTCTTTCCGGGGATGAGAAATGTTTGCTTTTCTTTCAAACCCTCCGCGGCCGCGCCACTGAGTGGTTTCATAACTTATCGGCCGGTGAGATCGATTCTTTCGATGAGCTGGCCGAGGTGTTCCAGGAAATATTCAAGGAAAATTGCACCAAGAGGAAAAAGTTCACCTACTTGAGCACGGCCGGGCAGAGGGAGCACGAGGATTTAACGAAATTCCTCACCCGGTGGAAGGATGAAGCTGATAAAGTCGAAGAGATGGACGACAAAACCGCCATGTCTCTCCTAGTGTCCGGACTCCGGTCCGGAGAATTGTATAAAGAGTTCTGCAGGAGACCTCCCCAGTCATACCAAGAGGCCTACAACACGGCCTGGGATTATGCTGACGCCGAAGCACAGGTGTCATCTAAAAGGGAAGCCGAGCAGGGCCATTCCAAAGGAAAAATTTCCTTGAAAAAGGAAATTGAACATCCCGGGAGGGCAAAGGCAGAAGTCATGGAGGTTAAGCCGGTCAAATCAGAAAAGAACCCGACCGGCAAGAAACAATGGACGGAGAAGTATTGCTCCTTCCACAAAACTGATTCCCATAACACTGCGGAGTGTAACAGTGTGAAGGGAGTAACTAAGCAGATGATCGAGGCTGGGGAGATCGATCATGAGTATCTAGCTCAGGCCAAGCAAAAGAAAAACCAATGGATCAGGCCTAAAGGGAAGCCGGTCGAACTGAACAAGAAGAAGAAACCACCCGATAAAGAGCATTTGCAGGTCATCTACGGTGGACCGGAAGGGGGAGACTCTGCTTCCCAAAGAAAGAAATGGGGGCGAGAGCTCTACGTCGGGACGGTGGCCTTAAATCCCCGGTCAAAACAGGCAAGACGGGAGCCGATCACCTTTACTGACCGGGACCTCCCCGCCACCGGAGAAGATCACAATGACCCCCTGGTTATAACTATGGACATGGGTGGAGTCGATGTCTCCCGGGTACTCGTTGACACGGGCAGTAGTGTCAACGTTTTGTACTTGGATGCATTTAAAAAGCTCAAGTTGTGTCGGACACGGCTTGAGCCATTAAAGACTCCCTTGTCCGGGTTCACCAAGGACTATGTTGAAGCTGAGGGGTCAATCCTTCTGACTTGTGAGTTGGGCACAGGAGACCATGTCGTCCAGAAACAAATGGGGTTTGTGGTAGTGAACATCAAATGTGTTCATAACGCCATCCTAGGCCGACCTGGAATAAACAAGGTCCGTGGAGTCATCTCCATGGCCCACCTCTACATGAAATTCTATACCCCGGGCGGTATAGGACAAGTCAGAGGAGATCAAAAGAAGGCCCGGCATTGCTACTTGGAGGCCGTAAAGAAAATGACCAAGGCATTTGAGAGAGTCACTTTGGTCTCTCAAGAAGAAGAGCGGTCGAAGTTAGAGCCGGGTGATGAAACCGAGCAGATTGTTCTCCGGGAAGCTTTCCCGGAAAGAATGGTATGGATTAGCAGAGATCTGCCCGGAGGACTTCGAGATGAAATCATCTCAGTCCTTCAGGAATATGCAGATATTTTCGCATGGAGTGTGGCGGACATGCCGGGCATTAACCGTTTTGTCATCTGCCATCGTTTGGCTGTGATGGAAGGGAGCCGGCCTGTGAAACAGAAGAAGAGGCACTTAGCGAACGTCCGGAGGGACTTTGTAAGGAAAGAAGTGAAGGATTTGCTGGTGGTCGGGCACAAAAGAGAAGTACAATACCCGGCCTGGTTGGCAAACGTTGTCCTGGCACCAAAAGGCGACACTTGGCGCATGTGCGTGGACTACACGGATCTGAACACGGCGTGCCCCATGGATTCATACCCGCTGCCGAGTCCCGATCAGATGGTCGATGAGACGGCCGGGTGTGAGTTGCTGAGCTTCATAAATGCCTTCAAAGGCTATCATCAGATCTTCATGGCCGAAGGAGACGAGGAGAAAACCTCTTTCTTAACTCCTGAAGGCACTTATTGCTACCGGGTCATGGCCTTTGGACTGAAGAACTCGGGCGCCACTTATCAGAGGATGGTAAACCGGCTTTTTAAGCCACTCCTCGGTAAGTCCATGGAGGCCTCCGTAGATGACATGCTTGTCAAGAGCCCGGGCGCGGCAAACCATCCGGCTGACATGAGGCTTTGCTTTGAGATTATGGCTAAGTACAGCTTGCGTCTCAATCCCAAGAAATGCGTCTTTGCTGTAAAGACCGGTAAGTTTCTAGGGTTTATGGTGACCAAGCATGGTATTGAGCCTAATCTGGAGAAGATTAAGGCCATAACTGAGATGAGGTCGCCCAGTTCGCTGAAGAACGTACAACGACTTACCGGGCGGTTGGCAGCCTTGAGTCGTTTTCTCTCCCGGTCTACGGAGAGGGCTCTGCCTTTCTTCAAGGTTCTGAAGAAGGCTAATACATTCGAGTGGGACCGGGAATGCGAAGAAGCTTTCCAGCAGCTGAAGGAGTACTTAGTCTCTGATATTATTTTGTCTAAACCCAAACCGGGTGAGACTTTGTATTTGTATCTGGGCATTTCCCAAAACGCTGTAAGCTCTGTTTTGATAAGAAATGAAGATGAGCAGAGGCCTATTTACTATGTGAGCAAAGCACTTAATGGGGCAGAAAGCCGGTATACTGCCATTGAGAAAACAACATACGCACTTTTCATTACGGCCAAAAAACTGACCGCGTACTTCCAAGCTCACACTGTGGAAGTACTAACCGACCAGCCACTTGGGCCGGTCCTCCGAAATTCAACCTCCTCAGGGCGATTAATCAAGTGGGCGATGATGCTCACTCAGTTCAAAATAGAGTACAAACCAAGGACCGCAATCAAGGGTCAAGCTTTGGCAGACTTCCTCATCGAACTAACCGGTCTAGAGCCCGAAGCCGGACCTTCTCATACGGTCGAACCGTGGTGGGACATGGCTGTTGATGGGGCCTTTGGGCCGAAGGGATGGGGAGCCGGTATAGTCTTCACTACTCCAGAGGGGTTCAAAATCTACCATGCGTTGGTTTTCAACTTCAAGCTTACCAACAATGAGGCGGAGTATAAGGCACTAACCGGAGGCCCCAGACTAGCCCAGGCACTCGGAATAAAGAGAATAAGAATTCGTTCCGACTCAAGTCTTGTAGTTGGACAGATCAATGGCGAGATGGAGGTCAAAGAGGAGCGTCTGGCCCGGTACGGTGACCAAGTACGAGCACTTCTAAGGGAATTGGAAGAGTTTCGTTTGACTAGGATACCCCGGTCGGAGAACACAGACGCTGATATGCTTTCGAAGTTAATGCAATCATGCCCGGAGCATGTGTCGAAGTTGGCTAAAATTGAGAGTTTAGATCAACCAAGTACTGATCGGTTTGAAATCGCGGCTATCCAACCGGGCCAGAATTCGGCAACCGGGATAATCGGTGCAGATGATGACTGGAGGTACGATCTCATGAAATATTTGGAGACCGGTCAGAAACCGGATGACGAGGAACGGGCCAGGAAGGTAGTCCTGCGGGCTCCCCGTTTTCAGGTAATCGATGGTCACTTGTACAAACGTGCCATTGGTGGACCTCTCCTACGTTGCCTTACCAACCCAGAGGCTGAACGGGTAATAGCTGAGGTGCATGAGGGAGTTTGTGCTGTCCATCAAATATCTCGCACCCTGGCTCAAAGAATAATATTGCTTGGCTACTACTGGCTGACCATTGTTGGGGATTGTGAGCGGTATGTCCAGAGATGTAGGACGTGTAACACCCTAATCCGTCCAGGTCTGCAGCCCCTTTCAGACTAAAGTATTAACTTTGGAAATCATAAATTTAAAACGTTTCAAATACTTTTATTCATCATAAATATTATTTAGTACATAATTGTAGCAAAATGCAGAGTGTTTAACAATAATGCGGAAGCAATTTAAACCATGTTTAATAACAACATAATTATTTATTTAAAATCACAAATTTCACCACGACAATCTCGCCCCTTGTGCTGCCAGGAACAAGCCAATCATTCATTCAGTCTACCTGCGTGTAGCAAATAAAACATACTACACGCTCAGCGATGAAGCTGAGTAAGCATATCTAAAGCGTCGAACATCCACATAAATTGAATCTCAATTCACAAACAACCATTTGATATCATGCACACAATATATAATTCATTCATGATATTTTCAATTGTTTAATATTCAACATTCAATACTCAACAATATCCTTAACTAGGCTTAGTCTAAGGCCAAACCTTTG